CCAAAACGATCAATCAGGTTGCAAGACATGCTATCCATAAATAAAATGTAAGACACCCAAATATCAATCCTGCCCTATGGCATGAAACCGTAGGCCAGTCCTACGTTTTAGCAGCTGACATTAATCCACAGTACAATTGCTGACATTCCATCTTAAAACCACGAGCTAGTCCATCTTTCTGTTTAAATTACACTATGACAAAGAAACAGTTGTATAATGAAGTTCATAAAGTTCTAACAACATTAGAATCACCTTTCTTCAAAACTGCCATGTCAAAGAGAAAGGACAACTCCTGTGACATTACTCATTAAAAGAACCGGTGCATTCATTTAGAGATATACGACTTCCAAATCCTTCACCAAATTCCTCTGTTTCTACTGAATGCTCAAGATCTCCAAATAACATCCAGAGCTGTGTGACATGTCACATGAGTGACAGCTCAGATCACAGACCTCAGGGAAAACGACTACCCTTGAAAAAGCTCTCTCAGTCACAGACAACAAATTCCTCCACATTTTATTGCTGCATAAAGAATAAAAATTGATGTCCTCATGGAATTGCTGTCTTTATTCTAAATGAGGGGCCATAGTATATCTACCTAGAGGCAATTGCATTTGGTGACCACTTCTAACAGCTCGGTGGTGAAGTGTTACGCTTGCTTTCCAGCACTGCTAGCTATACGTACAAGACAGAGAATACAAGAGTGCTGAAGGGAGAAAAATGAAGGAAATACCCTGAAAAATTATCTGTAGGAATGGTCCCTCTTCCTATTCCCTGTAAACAGTAAGCTGTGAGCACCCCTCGAAATCTGAAAGACTGAACACTTTTCCCCTTGTTTCAAGCAGAGTTTTTAAGTGAAAAATTCCTATGCACATGAATTTCTTGGAGCTGTAATTCATATGCAGAACCCATAATAAGCAAGACCAAGCCCAGACAAGTTAAATACAAACCATATAATAAAGCCAGCAAAATGAACTGGACAACTTCCAGTTGTTTACAGGGCAAGATCTGAAAATGACATTGAAAGCCACTTTGTTGCTGCTTACAGCCAAGTATTTCTGTGAGACAAGCCATTCAGTAATTATATAAATGACCATGATGGGATAGCTGAATCAGGAGAAAATAAAGGGCATAAACTTGCAGCATCAATTAGTTCTAGCAGTCCAATTTAGAAAAGCGTGTTAGTTTCTCTTATTAATGGCAAGACACTCTCAAACTTATAAAGTACTTTAAAGAAAGAAAAGATAAAATGTATCACCAGTCAAAAACAAAGACCCACTGCTGTAGAATATGCAGTTGTCAAGACTAGATGTCTAAGGTTAGATAGCTCTGCTGGCCATTTATGCCAGACTTACACTGTTGGTCCATTCCTAGCTTCTGTTGTTTCCAATGACAACACAAATTTTTTCAGTGACATGAAGATCCAGAAATCATGAAGTTCCTCTCTATATCTGTTTTAATTAGCAGGCTGGGAGGGGAGAGACACTGTTGGTATTTTTACTGACTCAGGAACATCATCCTCTTGTCTGGTTAGATGGCTACTGTCAGTCAACACTAGCACGCTGGCTTGAGAGTGCACAGATAAGCAATTACAGGAGTGTTGCTGGGGTCATGGTTAGAACTTGTCAGTCTTAAAAAGCACAAGCCAGTTAACGCCAAAGAAACTTGAGAACATGGGGTACTGTGCAATAGTGGCATCAAAGAAGAGGAAGGGAGCAATGGTTATAACACATGATGGAAGTGTGGGGATATAGGACACAGGTGTTTGCTTCATGATTTTTCTTAATTTTTCTGCCTTTTATTGTAGTACAATGCAAGGCAGATGTAATTGCTTTGTCCTTAATTTTTTTTGTAAAATTGAACTGTTCCATGTTGTCCAAGATTCATGTTTTAAGCACTTATAATTGGTTAAGCAACAACAGTTAGTGCCCTAGGATAACTCCACCCCCCCGTTTCAAACTCATCCTCAGAATCATAGAAATCTTCCTCCTCGTTCCCCAGAAGAATGTACCTGTTGTAGTCTTCTGAACATGGTTATGGGGTTAAACACAGCTTGCAGCTAGACACAGCCAGTATTGCTTTGATTCACTATGATAAAATCCATGTGGGTTCTAATAAACAGAATTACCTGATTTTTATGACACTTGTTAATTCCAGCTTGTACCTGAAAACCTAAATAATGTATGTCAAGAATCAACGCATGAAAATTACCATTCTGGGGCAAGCACCTGCAGCTACTGCCAAACTATGATTTTTTTATTTACTTTAATAAGACAGAAAGCACATCACAGACATTAAAGATCATTAAATTATGCTTTCAAGCAATAACATGTCCCTAGCAAGTGAGCATTACACAAAGTACATGCTGTTTACAGCAGCTACCATAAAATTCACTACAATCTCATTTTGTATTTGAAGTCCTTTAAACTACAAAGCATCTATGCAATCTCAACTACTGTGCAATTGCTTTTAAATTCCTATAATTAAATTACTTTCTTAGAACAGCAGCTAGCAGCATGTCCAATTGCACTGGTCATTTTTTAACCAGAGATGAAGAAATTAATCACGGGCATACAAATAGCATCTACTGCAAATCAATTTTTCCATTATTTTTATAGCACCTTCATAGCACAAATCATTCCTAAATTTTGTGAGAATAACATTTCCTTTTTCCAATCTGCAAGGTTACTATGTATCAAAAAGCTTTTCCTTCCAGAATGGAACACCTGATGCCACTATTTGTTAACTGCTGTTAAATCTCTCTCAAATCTGTTTAGACCCAGAATATTACTTCAGAAAGAGAAATTATAGAAGAAAAGATTAAACAGGACTATAAAACCAAGCACAAGCTTTTCATCATTGCATACACTGATGCCTGCTTATATATTTCTTTGTTATTGTGAAGATGAAAAGTAAGGCTAAAGCTTACTTACAATAAATCCATTAGTAATTGTGCTGTAGTACTAAATACATCCTGCCTTGTTGGCAATATATTTTATTGTGGGATTTATCATATCTGTTTTATTACAAAACCCCCTAGAACTTTTACATTGCTTATTCAGAGTTCAATAAAAATTCCACCGACGCAAATAAGTCATCCCACTTAACTCCATGAGGTATAGGTCATTATTCTTCATTGAATGCATTCTGCATTAGGAAAATCATGGAACACAACCATAGGGCTCAAAACAGACAACTTTACAAAAGGAAATATAGATGCAACTTGCTTGAAGAATTCTTCTGAAAAGCAGCATTCTCAAAAATAGAATCATATCAATTCCAATGTCAAAAAGGCTACATACTTGTTGGAGTGAGACTTTATACTGTTCATATTTACCCGGCCTTATTATTCCTTTACTGAAAACACATGTACCAAATTTTGAATACTTCAACTATTTGCATTAGACATACTTATTCAAATAAAGACAGAAGATTAGACTGAATTAAATACAAGGCATTTTCTAATATAGGAAATGCATCATTGAGCAACTTCATTTCAACCACATAACAAAGAGACAGTATTAAATCCTACCACAACTCTTGCTTTCAAACCAACATATGCAGCAGTGGGGGTCTCTATGGTAATTACTATTTTGCTACAGTTTTGTTTGTACTAACAATAATGACAATTCTTTGTTGCAAGGAGATTCACAACGGCAGACAACAAAGGAAATCTTCCAAGAAAAACGTGAGCTTGCCTAAAAGGAAGTTTTAACAAACACTGGAAAATGTATGCATTCTTTCTCTGGAAAGAAATCTTTCCCCTCATTTTCCTTTCAACCACACTAATTCTAATTAAAAAGCTGACAACATTAATTATCAGGAAAAGCACCCTCTTAATTTGGGTTTCAAGGACCTCATAAAACAAGCATCTGCAAACTCCATTTATTTCAACTACCTGATTTTTGTCATATTCTCAGAACTCATCTTTCAATTCAACTGCGTAAGAAAACTCTTCAGGACATCACAGTCACTTTTAAGTTGAAAGGCTACAGGTCTACACAGCAAAAGCAGACCTGCTTGTTTATATTTAGGGCTTATTTAGTCATGCCATTTCCAAGTGTTAAAGAATCACCCATCTATCACAACAATACCTACTTCTTGAAGTAAGCAGAAAAAAAAACACTTTCAAACTTAAAGCATCTCATAGTTAACTCATTCACAGTAAAGACTGAAGCAAAGGCAAATTTCTTTTCACTCATGTATATCTGCAAAGGCAGTTTTCTTCAGTTTAGAGAAATATTTTCTTAGAGCAAACAATAAGGAAAAATATTTGTCCTTAACAACTTTGTTTTTTAGTTGCTGTGATATACAACAGTGCATAAAGGTAAGTCTTTTTTTCCTACAATTAATCTAATTGTGGCTCAGCCTCTCTAACAAGGCATACTGGAAAGTAAAATCAGATCCTCCAACAGAAAATGCACAAAATAACTTCTTAGCAAAGGGGATGCATCATGACACAAAGGTTACTCTAAAGCAATGCAGAGCTAAGGCAGCAAAAGGAAGAAAAACTGTGTTATTCCTGGGTCTTTCCAGCATGGGGATGGTTTAGGAATGAATGCTATCACATTGTGGAACAGTTAGAACATAAAATCCCTGTAAGGAAGGACATGGTCAGCCACAGACAATTTTGTTGTGGATGTTACACTGGCCAAACCATTCCAACCAGTTTACAGTGTACCATAAAATATTTACATAAGCTATGAACTATAAAATATTTTCACATGAACTATAAAATATTTACACTGTCAACATCAGTTAGGAAAGAATGATGTGCTGTCAAGCTGGTGTGACCCAGGAGTAAAGATTTTGTGGTTGCAGATGAAATAAAACTATTGCAAATCATCTGGAAAGTTACAGGGAAAATTAGGTTAAACAAATTACTGCTTCCTGGTCTGCTGGATAGTAAACGTAACCAGGAAAGCATAGCTTATATGCTTTAAGCTGAGTTTTACCAACAACATAAAGAAAGGTTAGGCTCATAATCAAACTGTACTGACCTCTCTGAATGTTCCTTCTAGCAAGGTATCCAGATGTTGAAGCGGAGCAGGAGTTTTGTCTTTGAATCGTGTTAGCAATCGCCGCTCAATAGCTCGAAACTGTGCAGCCCTTTGAGATAACAGCTCCTGAAGTTTTTCCTCATTCAAACGTAGCTGCAATTTAAGGGTTTTCAGGAATTCAGGTTAAGGGTCATATACGTTTTGTATGCACATTCCAAATGAAATGGGAAAACTGTAGTAACATTTTTGGGAGAGTGTGCATTATGCAAAGATAATGTCATTTATACCAGTTTCATATTTTACACTTTTCATAAGCTTATTAACATTTCCAAGAATTATCTTTTGCCACTGAAATCAAAGCTGATTGTCAACAGTCAAATAATCTGTGAAAATGCATAAATATGTCATCAAGAAGCCTAATAACAAGAGTGAAATTTCACCACCAGTATCTCAAGGCTTCTTCTGTTTGGTATGCTATTTATGAAACACACACACAGTGTACTGAATTCTATATTCATCGCATTCCCTTAAGCATGAATAGAAGTACTAAACTCTGCATTGTTTGAATGACTTTTTCTAAAGTGAAATCCTTTTTCCTTTTACATACACTGATCAGCTATAGCAACAAACTTTCTTGAAGTGTTGTCCTGGGTTCAGCAGTAGCAGTCTTTTTTCTCCTTCTTAATAGCTGAACTTAGATCAACACTGGGTATCTAATGCCCAGATAACAATTCTTATTTTATCTTTTTATCACCTTACCACACTTTTTCCAGCACTGTCTTAGACACAACTTCATATTTCCTGAAAGCCAAATGCCATGATAACTATAGTCCTAACCTAATCAACCATAGTACTAACACATGCACAATTTTTAAACGAGCGAACATCAATGATTCACATACCTCAAAATGTCTATCAATTAGTTCAAAATATTCTTGCAGGGGAATGGAACCAGAAAATGTACATGTGAAATCTTTGCAGTTTTGCTTCTTGAAATGTTCTTCGAGTCGAAGCCTCAGCTCTTTTGTTATCAGCCAAAGGTCTTCCAACTGATCACTCTGGATCCTATATCGTTCTTTGAAAACAACAACAAATACAGGACTAATAAACACACATTTAAGCCACATACGTTCACTGTACAACATAGTTTAGCTCACACACAATTGGAACTTGTTAACTGCATCCTAAGTCTATATGAGATTTTCCTACGAGATGCATGTTCATTAAAGAAATACTTGTATTCTGTGGATGTTAGTCCTAAACACTCGCTCTTTTGTTTTAACTTTAAAAGCAGTTTCGTAGCACAAAATAGAAATGTTTACTGCTTCAGGACTACTTACTTTTCAGTATGGGCCTGCTCATGAAGAACAAAAAGCTCTGAAGAACTACCATAATAAGGAAACAAGATAATTACTGGATGATATTAAGTCATCACAACAGACTGTCCACAATTCTCTCCCATAGTACAACTCAGTGAGCTGTGTTGAGGGTTGGAGGCAGAACCAGGATCAATTCACTTTAAACCATGACAGAAGCAAGGCATCCTAAGCATCTGGCAACAGTGTGAACAGACCAACTTCAATTTACCTAAAACCCTGAATATCTTTTGGAAATTGTTATTGAGTTCTTTGATAATACAGCCAATACAATTTTAATTACATCACCACTTCCTATTCTAGGATACGTTTTAGTAGGAAAAATATTACTCTAACTAGTCACAGACAACAACATTCACCTTTAATAAGCTATGCTTCAATCTAGACACAGCTAATGTTAGCAGAAGGTGATTTTTATCCATTTACACACTATGGCTTTGTAGAAGTGCTGTAGTGTACAAATGAAAGAGTTAAATTGAAGTGAAAATACAAATCCTATTTGTGCCAGTGTTATCTGTCCCAATAAATTCACTTATCTTACCACATTTTAGTAAATTGCAAATTATCAAGCTAGTGGGTAAGATTTTATTTCTGTTGTTTCTTGTTCACATTCATATAATAATGCATATATAGTATATAATGTATATAATGATTTCCAGGAAGTCAGAATTAATTAAATATGGAGACAAAAACATTGTGGAATACCACAGCAGCATTTTTTATCCAGATAAACACTTTCAAACAACAGTTCCTTATTTCATTTCATTACACATCTACCAATACTTTATCCGAAAGAATAGACAAATGTAGCTATGAGGGAAAAGAGCTGCTGGGACTTGATACAAACGAGTTCTTTTTTTGCCCTTGTTAACAAGGTTCACAGTAAATCAAATTAACCAGAATTCCTTAGAACTTGAATGTACTTATTTGAAATTTTCTCAACATTAGTAATTCAAGATTGTTTGACATTACCACTGGCATCATTCCCAGGATACTTATTTCCCTGAACAAAGAATGACAAATTCTGTTTACAGTGTAACAGGAAAGAAGCAAGTTTTATTTAAAAACATGCCTGTTAAAGAAAAGAACACCATCTGCTCCAGATAACATTCAACCTAATGTCCATTTTTTAAACACTCACAATGTAACGGCTGGACTGTGCCGAGTATCACCATACTTTGCCTTAAGTGATTTTTTCCTTGAGGGAAATTAGCTCAGATGTTTTCAGGCCAAATCAACAGTCATTATATTTATAATAGACATATCTAATACATTAATGTTTTAAAATGGATAAAATTAATTTCCTCCAAAATGCATATTTGATTTCCATACATTGCTTGTTGGTCAATACAAACACAATCTAATTTTACCATGGCCTGAGAGCATTGCAGCCCTTTGCTTTACATGATCTTCCAGCTCTCAAAAACAGACAAATTAGATTTAGAAACTGTATGAAACAGAATCTTTAACTGTAGGTGCTTTAAACAGAAATGCAATGGGAAAAAAAAAAAAAAAGAAATAACTGTGCTTCTGCTCATCCTGTGCTTTTATAGCAGCTCACCAATTTGTGTTTGCTTTTTGTTAAAGTAAGCTCTGTTACAGCAAATTGCAATAGATTGTCAGAAAATACTCAGAAAAGCAGGAGACTGAGAAGCACCAATAGGCTAAATAGGTTACAAAGGCTTTTAACACTACAGCTGATGCATCCAACTAGCACAACCTGCGTTAAGAGTGGTCACCCTGCAAGCAGGTTATCTGAAAGAAACAGGGAAGATTCAGTTCACCTCTCAGCCAGGAAACCCACGTTAGTAGCCACAATTAGCAGTCAAGCCTCCTTTACACTTCTATTGAAAAACAGTTATAAAACACTCCAGAGAAGAAATAAACAAACTTAAAACCTTAATCTACATAAGGGAAGATATTTTCTGTATCTTGTACTTTCTGTATCTGTGTACTAAATGTTAAAATAAACTCAGGTTGGGTCCTTTGCAGCAGCACTTTTGACAGGCTGAAGTAACATCTTCAATTATTACCATGTTCAAACTGGATTAGCTACTACAAGTAAAAACAAATGTGAACACAGATGCCATTCATGTCTGCAGCCTTAACAGGGAAACCCAAATGAACCTGGAGACTTTCATTCCTACAAACAGTTCTTCCTATTCAGAACTTAAAGTCCAATTGATAAGGAATATGGAAAAAGATCTCTGCTTCCATAGACCAAGATCAACTTCTTTCACAGTAAACCAGAAATAAGGACTGATCAGTCCCAATGGACTTTTTTTACTTTTCTGAAACATGATTACTTCTAGCCTATTTATCTGCATGTACAGTTTTCTTTTTGAAAACTGTTTTGACAATGATAATATTGCATAATCACTTTTACAAAGTATAAACTAAATGCTAAATTAACATGTAATAAACTAACGTAAATAATATGCAATTTTGTCTGCATTCATTATTCCAGGGAAGAGCTGTCGACTCAAGCACAATCATTTTAGTATCACGAAATTCTACCAATGTTTTTTTTATTATGGATAGTCTCTGTTCATAAAAATATTCTGAATTATGTTTCAGTATCAGACCTTTTAAAATTTATTTGTTTTAAATAAGTTTTACATAGGTAATATTTCAAATAAGCAAATCCTCCTCAGAAATTCTGTAACCAACCCAATCCAATCCATGAATGAATGCTGGAAATATAGAAGGTGGCACCAAACAACTCATTTGTTTTCTAAAGTCAGGATTCCCAGACACAAGAAATGAGTAGTCATGCTAAGAGAAACAGATATTTTGAATCTTCTTTGTAAACTGAACTTCACAAGTAAAGCAGTGTGGGAAAGTTTATAGTAGGACTGCAAGCGTCATTCCAACCTAGTGAATAAACAAACCTGAGAGGAAAAGATTGAGGGTTTGGGGTAGGGGAATTAAAAGTTATAGCCTCACTAGAAGCTAAAATGCATTAATTACATGGATACAAATTTGTTCCTTACACAGTATCAGATTTAGCAACTATGCAAAATAAATTTCTAATCAAAGGATTTAAAATGCAATGCAGGAAAAAGGCAGTTGTTATAAATCATTCACATCCTTTCATTTTCAGAAACTATCACTGCACGTCCAGTTAGTTAAAACTGTTTAAGTCATACTATTTAAACAAATATTAGAAACAAACTAATCATAAACCAGCATGCAAGTAATGCATACACAAACCAGTGCAAATGGATTCGAACTTCAGAAATGTAAAGTGATTCTTGGTACCATGACAGTGACTCTCCAAATGGTTTCTGGCTTTCCCACATTTGATTACATTAGAAAAGGTATAAAATATTATCCTGGAGCTCACAGCTGATGCCACCAGTGTCTGCATAACCCATCATGAACACCAATTTTTGAAAACCAAGAGGCAGATTAATTTTGCATCAAAAGAATTTTACAACAACAAACTATATTCTGCTTTCTCCCTCAAAACACTTTTCATTAAGCATTCACACACTCTTCCATTTGAACTCCCTGCCACTCACAATAGGTATTATAGCTTTTCATTTGTTAGTCTGCTGTATTAAATGAAAACCTTGTGATCTGCTGGCATGGAAAATGCTAAACACAATTGAAGTGATTTGGTTCCGATGCATATGCCAAGAAAGAGTTTAGCGAGTTGAGTAGTTGTACAAGGCAAGACCATAACTCTCCAAAATGAACAGAATCAAACTTTTTTAAATAGCACAAATTCAAAGTGGTTGTAACATGACCACTTAATTTACTAACTGCTCTATACAAGAGACGCTGGACCAGGTAACACTATATCTACACACAACTTCATACATTTTGTCAACATAATAGGAAGCATATAGAGTCCATAATCCTATGCTTACAAAGATATACAAGCATCTAGAGACAGGCATTTACTTAGAGGCAGAAAAGCAAGTAAGCAGGGTTTGATGACTAATTAAAGTAAAGGATTTCTGAATGTCAGGGGAGAGTTAGAAACCTGCTTTTTAATCCCTTTTAGAAATCCCACTAGATGCCTACTCCCAAACACAGATGTTGAAATACCTTTGAGGAAAAGACGGGTTTTTCATTATTACAATGACAGTATTAACTCATGAATGAAAACGTTACTAAAAACTTGATGAGAATTCAGCTTCTTCAGGGGATTGGCACTGTAGTGTATTATATCTTGAGTAGGATTTTTTGGTTTGTTGTAAAATTTTGTGCCTTTCCTAGTAACATCACTGGATACCAGAGAGGGGATGAGAATTAGTCAGCTAACACTTTGAAAGCCCTGTGTTAACTCTCACACAGTTATTATCCTGCTTTGTATGATTCACATCCTCATTTTATACATATATTAACTAACAATCAGGCTTCCTTTAGCATGAATTCTTATAGCACTTACGTGATGTTTTTGAAGCAAGAAGAGTGGCTTTTGAACCACTTAAAAACTGAAATCCCAGAACATTTGCCTGGTCATCCTCAGATGGATCAACAAAGTCTGAAAGAGAAAGTTGAACAGAGTTTTCTATAATCTGATGCTGGGATTCAACAAACCTCAAGCCACAGCCAGGACCACATCAGGCTTTGCACAAGCAATTCAAGAAAGGCAATATGAGACTGATCCCCTTTCTTAGGGCTCAGAAGTAAAGACAAACAGCAGTGTTTTGGTATACCCTCCCTTTATTCACATGTGGAAGCTGAGCCACACACTGCTGTTTCTTCCCCAGCCTGGAAACAAGAGGTAGATTTGTGAAGACTTGCGCTTAGCGTATAGCTCAAAGACCGTCACCTTTTATCAGATGTGTACAACATCCGTACATTTGCAGAAATCCTGCAGAAATTTTCCATGAAAATATTTCCAGCTTTCAGTACGGAGCACAACAAACGTCTACCTTGCTCAAACCAGCTACTCTGCAAAGTCCATGCATGCCCACCTTTCTTTTCATTCCAAACAGTGAATCATAACAGGCTAAAAGGGCCCACTTAAGGGTACTGCACTTTAAAAACTACTCCATACCACCTCTCCTCCCAACCTTCCCCTAAAAACAAGGCAAACAGGGAGCGGAAGAGATACAACTTTTACTGTGCCCACCAAGAATCTAAAGTTCCTTCACTGACCACATCAGTATGGTTTTGTTGGGTTCTCCCCCCCACCCCCTAGATCACTAACAATGGGATGAACAGAAATCAGAAGATTTTAATACCTTCTTTTCGAGCACATCAGGCCTATGCTTTCTGCTGTATTTTCAACAGTGCATCCCTATTAAAAATAGAATACAGTACTGTATTTTGAAAGCATTATTGCTTGGGCATAATGGAAGCCTATGATCAAAACCCCAAAATGTAGACCTTTGGAAAAAAGGTTCCTCTGTTTCAATTAAGTGTTCCATAGCACACCCTTAAATAATAAAAAAAAAAAGAAAAAAGGCGTATTTACTCTCAAAGTGAGGAAAAACAGGTTACCAAAAAAACCTACCATGCCTAATTCACTGCTCTCAGACAAATGTACTTCAAAGAGATGCAGCTCCACCTTAAAAATACCATATTAAAGTTGTTGGCCTATACAGCTCTCAGCAAACTGTTCCAGAACCTTAGTTCTCTGAAGTTCAGAAACTTAATAACTGCCAGACTTAACTTATTCAAAATCTCTTTATAAGCCCTTGTCCCAGTTTCAGCTGTAGCAGTTATTTTTCTCTTTCCTAGTAGCTGGTGCAGTGCTGTGTTTTGGCCTTAGTCTGAGAACAATGCTGATAACACACCAATGGTCTAGTTGTTGCCAAGTAGTGCTTAACCCTGATATGGTCAGGCTGTGTATCGGTCAGCAGGTGGTGAGCAACTGTATTGTGCATCACTTGGGTTTATTGTTCTTTTTCCCCTTGCCTCTTTTAGTTTTAGATTCTTTCCCCTTCTTTTTTCCCTTATTATTATTAATAGTAGTTTTATATTCAACTTTAGGTATTGGACTGTTCTTATCTCAACCTGTGGGTTTTACATTCCTTTCATTCTCCCCATCCCACCCAGATGAGGGGGTGAGCAAACGGCTGTGTGGTGCTGAATTACCAGCTGGGCTTAAACCACAAAAGCCCTGTTTATTCATTTCTTCTGGTGCTAATATGATCATCTAGATGCATGATACAGCCACAAAATATTTACTTAAGTCAACTGTATTCCCTTTTTTTGCCTGTGTTTTATTAAGCTAAATGAGTCACTTTTCTTATTTCTTCTCAAATCCCTAGATAACGCTCATGGCTTTTTCTTATTACACTTCTGAGTTAAAATTAATTTTTATTTAGTACCAGCAACCAGCACTCGGTGTGCCAATGCATAGTAATATGATAGTTTCCTGCATGGAAACATTTTGTCTAATGCATCCTCAGCTCTTATTTGCTTGCTTATGATTGTACCAGATTGTACTACAAAAGTATTTCTGTGGTAACTTCCACCTCCTCTATCTCTTCCAAATTACGAGCTCATAATTACAGCAGAAATTACTTTCATAACATTACACTTTATAGTACTCAATTTTATTCTTTCCCAGTCCTAAATGCCACCTAATTACTCCTTCATACTATGTTAATACCCTCTTAAGTAGAAAAAGTAGCTCAGGTTTGTGCATTACAAGATATCAGTAAGTACACGTTATCTGTCTGGTCCAAGAAAACTATTACTAAAAAGAAAAATCATCTCCAGACAGCTGTATCAAGAACTCCATTATTTCTTTCAAAATACAGTGTTTCAACATTCTAACATTAATTTTGTTAATTACCTCATTACTCTGCACAGACAAACAATTCCTGTTGGAGGTCCGAACACATTTTCTATTACAGACATCATTTAAAACCTACCTGGAAAAATGGTGAGAAAACTGATGGGAGGTTTATTGGTATCAATAGTTATCTTGTGGTTTGCTGCTTTTGATGGTTGAGCTGGAAAGCAAATTAATCGTAAAGGCAGACTGAATTTACACTGCGCAGCTTTCAGTATTCCTAAAATGAAAGAACACAGATTCATCTTCCATATCCATATTCTGAATACAAGACACTTCATACTTCTACCCTCAGAGAGGTGTAACAAGATATATTTAACATGATTAAGGATACATTAAAACAAGAACTATGCAAAAATCTCAAATTTTGTTCTATTTTCCACCTAAAAACACCTGTAAATTTGAATATTTCTAATTACATTTTCAAGTGAACACTTTCAAGTAAATGGGGAAGCAAGAGTTATTAGTTAAATACACTGTATTTCTGTATTTATACCAATTAACTTGCAATGAAGATCAACATTTTCATGCTGTAGGCAAGCAATTCTACTTTAAGACAGACCACAGCTGTGTGGTTACTCCTGGTACTTCAAACAGAAAACTGAAGCATTTATGTTTTCACCAGGAGGATCACAAACTAGACCCTTTTTAAGAACAAAGTTACTCTCTTTTACACACTTAAAAACTATGCTACCTTCGTAGCATCTGTCAGAGGTTTGTGGCTTAGCAAAAATGTAACTAGGACATTTATACCCAATTCTGTTTCTGAGCAAAAATGTAACTAGGACATTTATACCCAATTCTGTTTTTGAGCTTACTGCATCATAATGAAACAGAACTGTACAGCCTTTGATGCTCAGGATCTAATATCATATGCAATTAAACCAGAAGGTGCAAGAGAAAAGAGGATGTTTGTGATATGTGTAAGGTAGAAGTGAAAGACAGAAGTGCTACTTGCTATGAAATATGGAGTTCTTACAACCAGATTATGGGGTTTTCGAGGAGGATTTTTTGATGAAGGAGCTAACAGGGAAACCTTGTTTTGTTCTGGTACAGACATCACTATCAGCAGAAATACCTATCATATTGAGATCAGTATTAACATTATCTCACCTCTATCTCTCATCATTCTCTCATTTTCTCCCAAATAACTCACAAAAGACAAACATGAACCCAACACTTATCTCAGCAGAATTTAACATAGCACATTTTTAGAGAGAATAAAGTTACTGTCATAGATTATCTAGAGGAAGAAAAGTCACGAAACTGAATAGCTACACAAGTTATCAGTCCTGTCAGGTTAGCAGGTTAACGTAAAAATAGAGTTCAACCATTTAGCAGTCATCCAAGAAACACTTTTTGCTCACAAATTTGTTTGCTGCTTCACATAGCCCTTGCAATGAAAAATTCTTTCTAAGACTTATCTTGGGACAAATTCCACACTACTACTCAGATTTAATCCTTTAGGTTGTTGGTTCGGTAGCTCTTTTGGCTGGCTGATAATGCCTCCAAGTAAGTATTCTGCATCAGCTTGTAGAGAGTAAAATCAGTGTGAAATAAGCAGAAAGCTTGTTATAACTAGGATATCCCTGGGTTCCAAGGACAATTCCTGAAAAATACTTGCTGATAAACCATGACCCTTCAGAACGATTCACTCAATTTTATCTTCATCATCTGAAGGGAAAATCAAGATCTTTTCTTGATGACAATGTAACACAAACATCTTACTACTGAACTTAGATATGGAGATTTATCAACAGGAAGAAAAGTGACAAAACTATCTAAAAAGATGTTTTCTTCTTGTTTCAAACCAGCTTTTCCTAGATAGTCTGCTCTCAGTCTGCCTCACCAGAAACAGTGTTTCAGTTATTTCAGACAAAGGTCAAATCAAAACTAAATCAAATAGTATCTGGCTTCAGAAGGGACTGGAGAGATTTCTAGTTAATGAGTCCAAAACAACTATACATAAGAAAACCAAATCAAAAAGCACTAATAAAATTTATCATTACAGTGAAAAACTCTTGCTGGGAAGAGTATTTTAGCATTTTAAATGGTAGTAAAGAAACATAAAGCAGTAGCCAAGCGCGGGAGACAGAACTTCCTCAATCCTTTGGCATTATGTCTAGCAATACATCCCACTTCATCTCAAGTTGTGATACATTGCATGATACATAATTTTAGCACTGTAGTAAAGGAAGAATGTGGAAAGAATCAGATTAACTTCAAATCTGAAATACAACAGAAATTTTGTAACATTACCTCATAAATTGCTACGATTTAAAGGCATACTATGCACTTACCTGATAAAAGCAATAGAAGTTCCACACACTGTAGTTACAATTCACTTACAAATTACTCATGCATTCTTCTTATTTATATTTGAAATGTAACACTGATATACATGATAAAAAACATTAAAGCTGAGATTTCTAATTTAGGATGTTACATATTCAGAGAATTTATGCTTTTCCTGATATTGATGACCCTGCATTTACCTAGTCCAGTGCACCTCAGAGTAACTCAAATGTCCCAGATGATTCTACTAAGTTTACTAAGCTCCACAAAATTCACTTCAGCATCAGGTGTTTACCTTGAGTAGAAATTTCTTTAAAAAAAATCCAAATCTTCTTTTTTTTAGAATGTTACGCTTTCAAAAGATACAAATCTATTTTAAGACAGTTTATTTGTATATTTACTCTCTTTTTTACTAATTTTTAAAGTTACTTTATATAGCAGAAATCTTCCCACAAAGTGATAGCTATTCTTGCCAACAGTGGTATTTTATGGAGATGGTTCAAGTATCTATTTCTCGTACAGCACCTCAAAGTCACCTGAAACATCCAGAGACCAAAATAGGGTACCAGTAACACAGTTACCTAATTTTCCACTTAGTATGCTTGCAAAAGCACAAGTTAGTGAAGTAACTCCTACAAGGCTGTATCGTTTCAACACATGTACACAGCTACATTGCAAACTACCCTTCTCTCTTTCTAGTCTACCAATGCATAAGCTTTAGTCTTTTTAGTTGCATCTTTTGAAAATCCCCTATCTATCACAACCACAGCTAAGTTTTGTATTGCTGGTATTCTTGGTTAGAAAGCAGCCTTTTAGCCTTGAATAACTTGTTTCCAACAGCAACTGGAATGAAAAGATGTTAAGTGACACCATTCTCAGAGCTATTCAGGCCAAACAGTGTAACATTAGCTACAAATCCTTAATAGCCATTTCAGTTGCACAAAAAAAGATAGTTTACCTGCCTAAGTTCTCGCTGCAACTTAAAAAAAAGCTCAAAATACAGTAAAGCAAGAACATACAATTGTGTTTTCCGTTTCCAATCTCAACACACACAGCACTTAATACTTTGCAAAAGTCTTACGTTATATATGAGGAAATGCATTATACTTCAAGAAATGTCTTCACTACTTTATTTTCTCCATGGCCTATGTCTAATACTTGTTTACTTTCAATTCTCTCAAATATTCACACCTTCACAGCGTCAAAGCAAGGATAATGAGAACTTACAGAAATAATAGGCAAAATAACAGCTCCCTTCCAAATCTGCTTTATCCAGCATGTGCTGTCACTCATGAAACCATTCAAACTTTGCATTTTCTCCATTCACTCACCTTCAGGGAAGAGCTCTACGGTATAACCAGCAACAGGACAAAAGAGAAGATCAAAAAAAAAAGAAGAATACGTAAGATGCTACTCAAATAAGGAAAACAGCAAATGTAGTAACAGTTTTTCAAGAACTTAAGAGACATTTTTTAACTAAACAATACATAAAGACATAATCCTAGCCAAAAAGCAGGCATGAGACCACATTCATCAATAGTGCAATCCCATCCAACTGATTGACTCATTAATCTTCAGCTGTATGAATCCCACATAGATACACTGAAGACTGATTGGGCCACAAATATGGATAACTTAAAAACAAAAGAGGACAAAGTCTCTATTAAGACAAAATTAAGTCACAAAGGCACTTCATTTTTGCTAATGTATTACATTGAGGGATTTGATTGCCTTGCACATGTACCACTAGCAATAGCACACAACTGAACAGAATTATCCCAGCTTAAAAATTTAAATTTATAACCAAAAATCTAGCAATATTTTAATCACGTTCCTTTATTTAGGAGTCTTACAAATACTACCATTCAAGGGAAGCTTTTAAGATCTCTTCTACAGATCCCTAATTCTTTTAAATTTCATGTATTCTGGACACTTTTTTAATTGCATATAAACAATCAAACGTACTTAAGATACAAGATTTCTTAATTTCCTTAACCAAAAGGCCTGCAAAATCCAACCTACTATCTAAAATATAAGTCTAAGTTTCACTAGTACCACCTGAAAGAAATAACACATTCATTTGCTTGTGAGAAATACCCTTAAAGTTTGATACTCCGGTTATGCAAAGCAAAAGCACAGAAGCCAGACCAGCAAAACAAAAAACGAGATTTCAAAGCCAGACAGTCCAAGATACTCAGAAGTATGCTAGCTATACAGCTGTAGTACAAAACCTATCTAAAGGCACATCACCAAGTTGGACACTCATGAAGGTACAACATCTCCTTCACAAGGAATACGCAGTCAGAGTGACAATACAGAGGGACTGAAGTTGTACAAGCTGCGTGCACAGGCTCTTCAGAATAAGGGAGGATCATCCTTTTCCCTCCCACCCTCTGCACCCATCTGCAAGAGGGTAAGATCAAGTTCTTTAAAAACATGAGTTTCAGCTTTGTCAGTCATCACACAGCCTAGACTATCATCATAAACACAGTGTTTCAGTGAGAAGTGAAGTAAAAAGCATCAATGTGGGATAAGGTACTCAAGACCATCACCCTCCACGGAAGCCCTAACTCCACATGCATTTCTTTGCTGCCAGTCTATTCCATGTCACCCTTCCTTTTGTGCTGGCACAGCTCCCTGGCTCTGCAGAGGGGACCAAATCAGCAAATCTGGCTGAGAACTAACCGTTGACTGTGTGAGCACAAGGGAGGAAGAGGTGCAGGAGGAAAGCCAAGCAGCAGAGATGTGAAGAACAGGCAGCTTAAACTGATGTATGCTGCATTTAACTTTAAAGAAGTTGTGCCTAAATACTGTTTCTCAGTAGGCTGACACATTGACAAGGCTGCGTGCAGAAAACCAAGCTAATCCATCTTCAGTTATAGAAAGCAGGGTAAACTTACATATGCTATCACTAGGGTCATTATGGCATTGTAAATCAGAACGACTTAGTTTATTTGTTTAGAATGAGTATGTTCTCAGAAATAGTTGAACATACTCATTCTAAACAAATCACCCCAATGCTTATTCAAATCTTTTTCTGGGGGAGGCAGTTACTGTCACATTTGTTGGCAGCCCAGAAATATGAGGAGTCATAAAAATGTAATTAACTCCTCACTCCAAGAGTTGATCCCTTAAAGAGCAAAACAGGAGCAAATTGGTAGGACAAGCTGTGAAAATTTGTACAGCTGCTTCCTAAGCCACAAAAGCATACGATTTTACATCTGTAAGAACAACTACATAACTAAAGGATACTACATAAAATATTAGCTAAAATTGAAGGCTAGACTCTGATACACATTATTTCTTTAACTACTACTGCCTTCAATATATTTCAAAAGAACATTTATGAGAAATACGTAAAAATAAAGACCTCAGAAAAGGCAAATCAAATTGAAATCTCCAGTGACTTACCTGTTGGCGTACTGTATGAAAGCACACAATTTCCTTCGAGTTCTGATGGAGAAAAATTCCTCTTCAAAAAGACAGACACAACCACAGTTTCAGATGAATCTGGTTCTAAAAGCAACACAAAATTATATCAAGTAATAGGAGGATCCAAACAAAAGCAATGTATTTTCTAGCACTTTGGGAAATATTCTACTAAATTATGTCAATTGTTTCCATCAGTTCACCTTTATCAAAACATTGGGCATGTTTTGGGTTTTTTAAAATCTGTAATTTGTAAAAGGCAGACTAGTCTCTCCAACATATAACTATCCTGAAGTACAACAAATAAAACAATTAAATACCCTGAACAGAGAGCATATCAAAATAAATGCAGTTTTATATTGTGGTTTTAATAGTTTACAAAGCCATCAGCCCTTTGCCCCTGTCACAGGCTGAGAAAACCTAATAACTGTCCTTTCAGATGAGCAGCAGTCAGTAAAGCCCTGTTTCAAGAGAGACTATGGTAGCACATTTCAGAGCAGAAATGGTCTGCTGTCCCAACTGAGGTACCAGGACATACTTCTCAGGTCTTCAGCTCCACTTAATCAACAAGGCAAGCCCACCCGCAGCCTTATCAACAGAGCTAGGAAAAGACTAGAAATCACCAAACAGCTGATGCTAAATTGGAAGCATATGCTAGACTGTCCTCAGGGTAAACAAGCTTTCTGCACTGCTTTCAGCTCAACAGTGCCACTTGTACATAGAGAGAAATTGCCAGCAAAACAAAATGCCCCAGCAAAAGTACCACAGAGTAACTGATTTTTATGTATTATTTCCTCCATCATAAAGCTACCTCTCCTCACCTGCCATGCATCGTGCCACAATCAAGGAAGCACCTGTATTCCTTTCAACTTTGTCTTCTTCACCAAGCAGTATCTAGAAGCTGCAGAGTGCAGGCAAGGCAAATTTGTAATTGCTTTAACAGCCACATATCTGCAATACACTGGCGATGGAGGCTGGACTATACCTTTCAAACATCATCAGACAACGTAATATGATGCAATATCTGTAATGCTCCTAGAATAATTTACCTAAATCATCGAAGACGAACTGCTCACAGGTCACTGCTAATGGAGCTTGTACACACACTTCCAGGTTTGGTTTTTTCGCAGTCACTCTGCTCTGTATCGTTATCTAAATCAAGTGACATACAGAAGTATTTAAAGGAAGCATCAATTTCATCTCTGTATAGCATTAAACAACCATAACCAGCAAAAAAGTATGAAAATCCTGCAAAGAGCAATTCAGCAACAATGTTAAAGAACTTCAAGTTTCAAGACAAGTATTTTCCTTTTACAATTCCTTCTTTCTTACAGCCAACAATGGTACACAATAACTTGAAAGACTACAAAAACCTGAGGGGATTTCTCATGTTCTTTGTAATGCTAACCCAAGACAAACCGATGCTAAAGTGTTTATTAAAATGTAAATAAAAATAACATGTTGCCTCTTTTAAGTGACTACAGTAAAAAAGACCAAAAAGAATAAAAACAAAGCTAACCAAAGAAATTATTTCCTTTAACTGCAAAGAGAAATACACAGTTTCCTGAATAATTTTGGAGTAAAGTTCTATTTGATGTTCTACTGCAAACAAATTCACATATTCTATACACAGGATACCCAGGACAACTACAACTCTAGATTATGAGAGCTGAGCTAACCATAAACCTGGAGTGGCTCTGGGGGCTTCTGCTGAGGGCAGTTATTTCTTTGCAAAACCAACAGATACCAAAACAATGTCCTTAACTCAGATCTAAAAAAAGTATAACTGTGATTGAGATCTGAATGTGGTCTGCAGGTTCACAGACCCTATCTGCTATCTATTATCATCTGTTTTGTACTGCTGGTCTAACAAGGAGTTCTCTGCAGCCAGGTTAACTTTTGGAAAATATTATTAGCTATAAAATCACTCAAGTGTTAGGAAGTTTGACTACGTTAATAGGATCAACATCAACATTTATTTTGGTTTAAAACTGCATTTGAGCTGCAACAGGCCTTCAGATTATCCTGTATCATTTTAGCATTTAAAAACGCAGAGAAAGGTGTTAGACCAAGTACAACTAAACCACGCTAGCCTAAGGGAGGCTGGTTCAACAAACAGTCCAGTTACCCTCTGAACTTTTTACTCAAGAAAGAGGGAGAACTCGAAAGGTTCTCAAAAATAAGGCTCAACTGATACTCTTAGAAGATCCTCTCAAACTCAGAAATAAAAATCATGATCCTATTTTAGACAATACTAAGGAGAAAATACACTTGCACACATGAACACACAAGCACACACACGGTCACCCTTTTTTAGTACCAGTTACAGGCAGCAACTCTAACAGAGGACTGCAGTGATTTCAATTTTTGAATTAGATTTTCCTAGCATTTTTCTTTTTCACTAGCAAAAGCTATGAAAAGCTTTTTAAAAAAGGAAGTCTAATTTTGTTTATTGACATCTAAAAAGGTAACAACCTTCACACTAAGAGTAAGCAATTATTTACTGCCTTTGAGAAGTGCTGGAAAAATTATTTATTGCCTGTGAAAAGCAGTGGAAAAATTATAACCAGAAAGAACTTCAGTCCATCCTAATAATGTCTTTGTGTCTGCTTCTTGATAAGCATATAAAAAATAAATCTACAATCACTTTCTGACTTCAGCAGAAGGCTTACTGGAATGACACCTTGCCATATTATGGAGAAAAGGAATTAAATATATTCTGCTTTTCAGATTTTACTCATTCTCATCATCTAAGTGAAATACAGTGACAGGTTTGCTAAAATTTGTCACCACTATGTGAATGCTACTGTTTGAGTTAGGCACAGTACCTTCACTGTGACTGATGGCACTGCCTCTGCTTTTACCTCACTGTCAATTGCTTGCTGTGAAGAAAAAGATGAAAACAGAGTAAATTCAATATTACACATGAATGAGTGAACACAATGAATGCAATATTACCTTCCTACCATCAACTTGGTAAACAGGGAATTAACAGTAAAGGACTTATCATTCCTATGACAGTTTAAAATACACAAAATACATTTCCAAGTTCCTTCTGAAAATGTAAAGCCTCTGTCCGAAATTGCCTGCAAATAGGATAGCAGAAGGTCATGAATGTTATGTGTATAAGGAGCTAATACACTCTGATGTATATATGAATATCTGAAAAAGTTTTGTTTGGCACACTACTTTCCACTGCATATTTATTTAAATTCTGGAAATACCTTCTGTTATTCAGTAGGGAAAGGTGACTTCCAATCTGCCAATATATTACATACGCACCAGAGCATGTGTTATAAAATAATCACACATTATCTTATAATCAGAAATACATTTTTAGCTTCAGAAGAAAATTATAGTAGGCATCTTGCTACTCCTGCATACAGTGCAATTTCAATCTTCCCACAAGTGGAGAAGTAGTATCTACAAGACTGTAGTTTCCAAGATTGCAGCAGAAGCCCTAAAATTGTTCCCATGTTTGCTGTATTGATCCTTCCCCATTAAATATCTTACCAGATTTTCCCTTTCTAAATGACTACTGAAGGAACACCCAGAAAAAGGCTGCCACACAGGTAACTAAAATATATGGACAACCCTGGGAAATAAAGTATGTGATTTAACAGCTATATTGAGTTACTTTTACATGAAACATCTGGAAGGATGACCAAATGAACACAGCAGCATTAGAACGTCCTGCGGACCTAACACTTCTAAGTGTTGTGAGATCACTGAAGCTAGCCAAGACCATGTCATTGTCCTTCTGTAGAGAACTGCTAGGACACTAGCACATACTATAAGGAGGTCCCCTTACCAAATATCAGTAGAAGTGGCAGTAGTAATAACAGTTTAAATAAATATATCATATATATATGAATGTATTAAAAAGCAGCTTCTTGTGTGTTTTTAAACAGTAAGTAGCCCTGAAAATCAGTTTTGCAGAAATCAGTGGCCAGAAACTACTTATTACAGATGTTCTAGTGCAGTAAGTATGTTCTGAAATGTTAAAGTGAAAAGTTTAAAGAAAGAATATAAGCTCTCCTGAATCTTAATTTGAGTTTTTATAAACTATGTACGTTTACAAAATGAATAAACTAATCAGGTTATAATACCAGTGAACACTGAATGATGCCTTGACCAGAGAAAAATTATTTCTTATAAGGCATCTTTGAGTGGTTCATGCATTATATCTTTAAAAGACCCACAAGATGCTCCACACCTCTGCTGTTTCCCCTCATTAACTACTCACCATTACAAATTCTCACCACTACAGTTACTTGAGAACCCAAGTTCTTGTTCACTTACATTTCTTTAGCCAGGAATTTAAAGATACAGAAGATACTAAATAATTTTAATAATTCTAGTTAAAATCATTAACAAAAGTGCGCTTTGATTGATGGAAACTGAGGGCTATGCAGAAGCTCAGTCCCACAAACATAAATACATAGTAATCACTATCCATGATCAACTACCATCTACTCATGTGCGAAACCCATGTTTTCAAAGTAATTTCCTTTTTCGACAAGTACATACAGTTTCCACATCCAAACCAGGTGAAACTTCTGCTGTGACAATTACATCTCTGTTTTTTTCAGATTTGGGCAAAATATCTGAAAGAAAAGGAAAAAAGCAAATCAGCTCTCCTTTAACAAACACACAGCTACATTTGTAAAAATAACAGCATCAAGTTTCTGACTTATGTCAAGACACCTACGAGCGTAAAGGAAAAGTATAACAACGCATATGATTTAGACCAATTTCCTCCTAAAGCTAAAACCTGGATCTCATACCAGATTTCTGATTTCTTTATAGAAAAGGAGTTAGGTGCAATCTGTAACAAGATTTTACACCTCCTATCCATGATCTTCAGAGGCTGTAAGGAATTTGTAAACTTCTGTCTTCACATGCTTATATTAATACACTTCTAACAACCAACTATCTCCAAAATGAATACTGCACACCTTATGGCACTTTCATCTATCTAATTTGATAATCAACACATTAGACACAGAAAGATTCTGTGCCTAACAGTGTAGAATTAAAATAAGTTGTAGGAATTCCTCTGTGTAAGACAGTATATGGAAGTTTTATGTACAGAGCATTATATGGGGCTTGGTTATAATATATTACCTGATGATTTCCAGGACTCAACATAAAAGGCAAAGAATGCTATGAACAAATTTATATCCATGATATAAAACCTTATGCAGATTCACATGCATAAAAAAAAAAGTTGCAAGGATTAAAAGCTAGGCACTTAAATAGCATGAGGAATTCCAGACTCTCCTCTTCAGAGTCCGGAAGTCCAGCTCTAAGGTATTTGCATTCTTCTGAAAAGCACTTTTCTTTCTTAATACTAAATGTATTGGAAAAAGAAAAACCCAAACAGGAAATGTATAGTTCCTGAAGTAACAAACAGTAAAGACTTAATGTGAAGGGGAAATTAGCATACTAACTGAATAATTGAGAGCACCAGCACATTCAGAAAGAACAGGTTCTGTCAATTACATACGAATAGGCACAATCTGTTCCACTTATACACACAAGTCAACATCTTCCTTTTCTATCTCTTTTTAAGCATTTCTCTTCAGGTTGCTTATTCAAGTAAACTATGACGCAACTTCATAGAATCAGAGACTAGTTTGAGTTGGAAGGGACCTTAAAGCTCATCCAGGTCCAATCCCCTGCTGTGGGCAGGGACACCTTCCATTAGAGCAGGTTGCTCCAAGCCCCATCCAACCTGGCCTTGAAGACTGCCAGGAATGGAAGGTCTTTTCCAATGTGGCTGTTTCAATGTAAGCATCAACTTTTTGTTAAACATAGGTGTTTTGACTCAGCTCAATCACAGCATCCAAACTGATGCAAGTAACATTAATCTGTATAGTTAGTATGTTAATTAAGTCTTTAAAATACTTCAGTGTACAGAGTAAATCCTTACTCCTCAACATGTATAAGAAAGCTTAAGTTCAACAGCTTAAAGGTCAGCACTGAACAGAAATACAAGGCATTTATGAGAATAACTACTCTGGTCAGTTTTTTTTTGGGGGGTGGAGTTTGTTTTTTTTTAATTTATTTTTAATATGATGACTTAATTCTAAGTAGTTTCATGTTTGGAAGTAAAAACAAAATTGGAAAAAAAAAGTCTTTCCATATAAGTATAAATATTTTCAAAACAACAACAGCTCTTACTGCAAACATGATTCCAAAAGACAAAAAGTCAATGCCTCATTTTAAAGATCATGCTTATGAGTATCTTAATGGTGAACAATGTTCAGAAGTGTTTCGTATTCAACCAGACATGACTAGCAGTTATTTTTAGACTTAGCTAAAGTTCTAAGTAAAAAGCCAAAATGAACCAAAACAAAAACATCTGAAACTGAAAGGCATTCTTAAGTAAAAGGTTTTGTTGTATAAATGCTCTCACGAGTTTTATATCCAGTTAAAGCCAAATGCATCATTAGAGCACCTCTCCACAACAAAAAGAGCATTCATAAAAACCCACCTGAAAACGCCACTGTAACACCTTAGATCAGATTAGAAAGATCGAAGAAGGAAATGAAAAACTAAGAGGGAGAATTAAAAAAAGACCAACAATATTCCCAATAAACTTGTCACTCATACAATGACACTTATTAAAGAAGTTATAAAGGACAGCTCTGTATTTCCTTACTCTCTCTCTGGATCTTCCACACAACATGTTAAAACTAACAAACAGAAGTTGATTCACTTCAAGTGGATTTATTATTCCATCATGCTTTCTTTCCTTTGGTTATGAAAGCCAGAAAAAAGATGTCAAGTACTCATAAAGAGCAGCCATGGTAAAAATCAAAATTACTGGATTTGTAAAACTGAAAATCTGACATTAGTCTACCACAATAATGGACAAGGTTATGTGCAGTTACAAAACAGAAACCTTTAAGTTGTAGAGTCAAGTTCATACCTGCAGATAAGTCATTTCTTATTTTCTAGGGAGCTTTATCACTCTCTTTTTCAAACAAAAAGGCACAACTGTATCTTTAATACAATTTAAGAACATGCTAACTATAATCTCGAAGAGATTTTAATTGGTTCTTTCTATTTGTCTAAGATTTTTCCATAGTTTCCTGTAAAATCACATGCTTCCAATTCCCTGTACAAGTCAGACACACTGTTTAAACACTCAGTTATGAAAACACAAACTTTGAAGAATCTCTGCAGAAATTATGTGCCCTTACTTGAACAAAATCAATGCAATACATAGCAGTGTATGTAAATTCCAGAATTTATCATTATCTGGGTTTTGATGTCTATGTTCTTCTAAAACAACTCTTTTTGAGACAACTGAAAACACAGAAAAGTTTAACAAAAATAATCCTTTGTTGATTGCACGACTTAAAAAGCCATTTGTAATAACAAAACAGAATTTGGCAATACTATTACTCTCTCTGAACCCTAAGTATATCAGACTGTTACTATGAAATTCCTTAAAGTTTTCTTGCCTTTGGGTAATACATGCACTGGCATTTTCTTCTCTGAATCCTTGCACTAGTGACAACTATCTGCAACCCCACATAACTATCTTGAAAGTTTCAACAGGCATTATAAAAACACAAAGGATAAACTCTGTATCCAAGGGCCTGACAGTCTATGATTTTGTTTGTGTATTTTTTAATTAAAACTTAAACTTTATTAAATATTACATTTCCTACAGAAATGTGTTATGAGATGAAAATGAAACAAAGTACTTCAAAGTGCTATAAGCAAAGTCAGGTGATTAAAAGCACATATAAAATATACCTTGTGTTTTTGTGGCCTCCTTGATGATCTTCTGAAGCTCTTTCATTTCGGCATCAAACTCTTCCTGATTTAGTTCCCTAGATTCAACCCTAGGAGCCTGGAAGAGTGAAGGATCAGTTCCAAGGTAGGAACACTGAAGATGCCCAGTATCACTCAGAGTGACTATAACACCCTTCAAATCTCTGCATGAGAAAAAAAAAGAAAGCTCATTAAAAAACTGCAAAGAATCACAGAAGCAGTAACATTGAATTTATGTTGCTTCTACTGTTCCATCTAAAAATATAATAGAACTTCCTGGTTTTAATGAGATTCTTTGACAAAAAGAAAATAACAATACTTCTTCAATTCAAAGGCTTTTACTAATATTACTCCTATTTATTGCAATCATACCTAAGAACCAATCTGTGCTAGACAGATGACTAAAACATAATCCAAGTTTCTCAGAATCTGTATAACAAAGAAAGGTAAAGGAAGGGATCAGAACAAAAAGCTGAGTAGACAGTACAGTTGTAACTTTTTTCATTCACAACTTCTTAAGTCTGCTGAAGTACTGAGACTAAGGTTAGTATGCAGGAAGAGAAATTAGCAAAATGGAACATCAAGTAAGGGAAGGGAAGGGATGCATTTGAAGAAATCACAATGGATGGAATATGTTCACAGTGAAGACAGCAGTAGGACTGTGGCTGGCTCTTCCCCGTGGTATCTTTCAGAAAGGAAGCCACATGGATCCAAAACATTTCCCTTTCACTGCTCTGGATCAATACAAATGGGTGCTTTATTAGCTACACTAGAGTGTCTTTTCAGCTGAAGGAACAGTATTTCATTGAACTTACTCCTATGGAAATCTTACTTACTTTGTGTATCTGACCACATACCATGCAAAGCAAGATTTAGGAAAGCATTTAACAAATTACAAGACAACAGGGAGTATTGCCAACATTTTGCTTAACTTGAAAGTAATCCCTAAACAGAAGAGGAACCGAAGAGTAGAGTAGAATAGTTGTTACCAGCAAAAGTTAAGAGAATGTTAACTTTCATTTTAGTTTTTAAAATGCTTACTCTTAATTAAAAGCTTGTATTTATTTTCATAATCATGAGGTAATATATTCATGCCAATAATTCGCTCCTACTCCAGAATTAGAATATCTTACAGCAGGCACCGCCTTTGCATCAAATACAACTGGCATATAAAGCAAAGATAGCTCAAATTTCATTCTTAGATCTAAAACTTAATTTTTATAAGAAAGCTGGCAAAGGCAACAGCAAAGCCTTTAGAAAAGGGATATTGCTGAAGCAGACGTTACCAAGTTACTGAATACCCTGTCCCACCCTTTACTATTTAGTTGCAGCAAATAATGAAAACAAGAGAAACTGCGCCATGAGCTTCTTCCAAAACTGAAGAAAATTGACACCTGAAAATAAGGCAATTTCTAAAGTTCTCCAGCACTGGCTTTGGACCATCTTAAAATTTCTTTCCTGAAGCTATGAATGTGTCAAGCTGCGAAAGAAAGATTCAATGAGTACATCTGATTGTAAATTAAAAGACCATGAAGAAATATAGGTACACACTTTGCAGTAAGTCTTTGATGATATACTACTGAAGTATAATATATTCAAAAGTGCTTTGCAAATGCAGTCCTTCCTATGTACCTTTAAGCTGGCAGTCATCTGCAGGTTATCAGTCTATCACATGAAATCAACTCAAATCAAGGAAGTGATTTTACTGTATAAATAACACTTTTCTTATGAGTGTGTCAGTATTACAGAACACACATTCAAAAACTCCATCTTAAACAAACTCATTTCAACCAACTTTCCTCTTAGTCATGTAGTCCTCTTCAGTAGCTCAGAGATAAAAGCATTAGTTTAAAAAAGCAGCATCACAAGTCTCTGCTTCAGCTACTTTTCTGCTGGGCCCCAAGAAGACTGCAACTCAAAATATATACAAATTGGAAAAAGCCTTTTACAATAATCTTTCCTTGTTAAAGCCATCCATGAATTTGCACATCAATAGAAGCAATAAGAAAAATATGGGTAACCAGTTATATGATTTATAATACATTAATTTCTCTGTTGGAATGTTTGTCAGCTAGTCAAGTTTGTTATAGAAGCTTGAAGAAAATAAAGCAATGTTTAAAGACAGCAGGGGGAAGGGGAGAGCATTTAACAGTTTTATAGTAGTTTCCCCACAGCTACTGCACTCGCGCAATATCCCTGCAAATACCATTACTTCATTTGGCACATTTTGCGCAGAATCTGGAATTCCAATTACTGTTAAATTTCTTTTATTGTAAACTTACTTTTCTTTTTTTTTTTTACTGTATCTCACACAATAGTCAAAGTAATGGCAAATCTACGGGGACACTTTAACAGTGAGGAACTCAAAGTATGAAACAAATTATTCTGGTATCTAAAATAACTACAATACAAAGCAACTCCTACACACATATGGTAATAATTTGAAAAAGTATCTTTTATTGGATTCTGGGTAATAATAACAGCATATGCTTTTTGTAGATCTTCTATTACTAAACAAATTGCTCACAATATAATACTTGAAGACATTAAAATGCTTTGCATGTTTCCAGTTCTATAATACCAAACTGATCACTCAACTGACATAGAAGTTGGAGCTGTAATTCTAAATTCTACTTGAATGACACAATCTAAGCCTTGGGACAACTCCTAGGACAAGGTCTGGTTATTGACACAATTTACAGCTTTAATTATTTATATTTATAATAGCACATAAAACTTCTACCTCAATTTCAGAAGTAGTCTTAATTGGTATTACTCATACAAATCATTTTAGAAACCAAGATGTTCTGCAGTGCTGTTTTCAGTGCCTTACTGATAATGTATCATTTATAAACTACTAAATTAGGAAACTCATTTCTGAACTGTACTCAAGCATTTTGAATACACTTCTCTCTCATCACCCTCTGAAGTAACTATATGCAAGAGCATAATGAAAATAGTACTTTTCAGTTTAGTGCTTTTGAAAACCCAGACTGTTCTAAGTTTCACTACCATTTCAGTGTCATTTTAGCTGTGTGAACTATTTGACAAAATGCTCAAGGAAAACTGGACTAGGAGTAATAAACTGTAAAGAGTTTCCTAACATGAACTAGTGGGAGTAAAAGTCAAAAGCTTATCTTAGTCTTACTAAACACTAACTCCAAAATCAGACCTTCAGCTGGATATTTAAAGTATACCTGGTACAACCTTCAGTGCCAGTTAGCCACTGTTTTTAACTGGTTTGGGGTATCTGTGGAAGACCCCCAGGCTCCTTTGAAAACCCCTCCCTTTATTAAAAAAAAAAACTCATTTGTTCACATTTACATCAAAAGTAATACTTCTGTGTGTAAGACTTCATCGTTCTGCTATTACACATGACAGCAGATAATCTGTTTGCTCTCAGAAACTAAAATTCTTTTAAGGTTATTTATGCTATGTATTTAACATGCTTTGCGCACTTTGAAGAGGAAAAGTAAACATATAATGCAAATACAGTGCTCAGTTACAACTGTTTAACAATCTGTAATGATATTGAATATCATTAACTAGTAAATCATAGAATGGTTTGGGTTGGAAAGGCCTGTTTTCATGCTATTTACAGCAGTTTGGGTCAGGGGTCTTGTCTGCCAGAGCACTACTGCCACCTGCGGGGCAGCAATAAGGCGGGTGAGGGCCAGCCCAGGAGTTAGGCACAGGCGAGCCCCAAAAGTTGCCGTATCATATTAGATGAAGCAGTGGGGTTTAATAAGGGTTAGTATGATAGGTTGACTGATAAGATTCCCTTAAAGATTAAACAATGCATGCAGAGACACTGACATCCGTGAACGACATCATGAGGGCTGGAGACCTCTGCTATAGAGACAGGCTGAAAGAGTTGGGCTTGCTTAGCGCGGGGAAAGCGCCGGGGAGAACTCGTAACAGTCTGACAATATTTAAAGGGGCCGACAAGAAACCTGGAGAGGGGCTTTGGACAAGGGCCTGTAGGGACAGGACAAGGGGAATGGCTTTAACCTGACAGAGGGGAGATTGAGATGAGCTCTTAGGCAGAAGCTCTTCCCTGAGAGGGTGCTGAGGAGCTGGCACAGGGTGCCCAGAGAAGCTGTGGCTGCCCCATCCCCGGCCGTGTTCAAGGCCAGGTTGGACACAAGGGCTTGGAGCAACCCGCTCTAGTGGAAGGTGTCCCTGCCCGTGGCAGGGGGGTTGGAACCAGATGAGCTTTAACGTCCCTTCCAACACAAACCACTCTGGAATTCTTTGATCACCCTGTGGTCCCTTCAGACAGGGAGCACACACACTACAGGCAAGCTAGACACACGATTTCAGCTCTTGCTAGATACTGCATCTAAAATCAATTTTTATCTTAAGGATTAATCAACTTAGTTTCTTGTTGGTTTAAATATAAAATCAAAGCTATTTCAAAAGCAGTGAAGGTTTATGTTAAAAAATAAGGTAGCCAGCTATACAAAAATGCAGATTTAAATTAAAATCGTATTTTTCACAAAATAGAATAAAACCAGAGCATTCATATTGCTGACACAGGCCTCCAGAAATACATGATCTTGCTTTAGGCAGAAAATTGTAAAGAGCTCTAAAGTATAATATATTCAAGGAATAGTTCAGAACTTCCACATTCCATTTCGTATCATCACAGTTCCATACCTAAGACACCTAGTGGCATTATCTAAATGGAAAATGCATGCGAGGTCTGATAAAACCCAGTAACTTTAAATAAGAATGCAGCCTCTAAGTCTAAGCTCCAAATAATAAGCAAGAGAAATTACTCTGTGATTTCTTTTATGACAGTACCAGTGTCAGGGTTAAGAAAAAAATTAAGACCAAGTGTGACACCTAAAATGTCTCCGTGCTTCACTCCCTCTTCAGCTGCACCAAGTATGTATTCCTGCATTTGCGCCTCTTTTGCTGTAAGCCTAAAAGCTGTTTCAAGGCCAGACTCTCTCACTGGCAGACAAGCACAGAACAGCTTCCAAAGGCTATACAACACAGCAGCTACAGCATCGTGAATATAGCATCTGGAGGGCCTCAAAATTTATCCTTCATCTAAACCTTCTCTTCTCCCACTTCAAAATAGTGTTTAGAGTTCATTTCACTCCAGGTAAGCTGGAGAGGACCCTAGCATCTCTGCTTCCAACAATAAAGAGGAAGG